CACTAGAAATGGGGTGTTTTAAACGAAAATTTAAGCACGGAATGTATACCGAGATTAAGGCAACGAACTACCTCTAATGGCATGCGAACATACGCGATAGCACCCAAAAGGCAAGGCGGCGTACTCCATGATAAGACCGTGCGTGTAAGTTCGAATACCATTTGAAACGTCGGTGTAAAACGATCATATGCTCACAATCGCAACGTTCGGTACCTCCCTTTACATTTCAATGCGTAACTTTTAACGATTTTATTATATTGTAGTTTTCGCTGCTGTTCACTTTTTCGATGAGTTTCGTGTCTGGTGAATTTTCTACACACCGAGTGACGTATATTCAATCAAGGAGATTTTAATAAAAATTGTATACATGCGCAACATTCAGGGAATTAACAGCCTGCATCTTAATTTTTGTACATCGCCAATCTCATACAGCAAGCAGCTCTAAATTACAATCACATGAAAGCGCAACTCCACACATATTCACGTTACGCAACGAAGCTTCAAATAGTGCATTCGCTGCCGTCGCTTGCCCTCCCGTGCCTTGTTTTCCGCTTTTACAATGAAGTGCAGCCTTGTCATTGTATAAAACTTGACGAGCCTGTTAGTAACATCTCTGGAATGTTTTCCGCAGCCAAGATGAGTTATCCGGTTTCTTGTCAACGCAGAAATGAAGTCCATTATGCTATTTGCTTTAAGCTTGCTGAAACTAAAGCAGCGCGCGAATGAGTCTTCCATGTTTTCGATAAAAGCCTGCAGTTCATCAGATGGGTAAAGCAGCCCACCCCGGTCTACTTCTCTGATTAGGCAGGCATCTGCGGGCATATCAGAATCGCGTGGTCGGATAAGGGCTTTTGCAGATTCAGGGCACTTGGTTTGGCTCAGCATCCTTTGGGCGACATATCCAGCAACGTAATGCATAACTCGGGAATCGCTTTTTACCGAAACCATTGCGCAGTGATCTGTTGGGATGCCAGACGATTCAAGGATTTCATGTACTTCATTGAGACACCCTATGTCCATGAGCTCGTCAAGCTTCGTCTGGAACTCTCTCCGGTCTTTGTGGCTGCCATGTATGAGGCTCTTCAGCACTGACGGTGACACATTTCCGTTAGCAGGTGCCTTCGCCAAACTGCAGAACGACAGACAATTTGCCGAAAGCAGAAACTGGGTTGGCGTCCGGTGGTCGTTGCTTTCCGACATTTGCCGCAAGATTCCAAACACATTCTCCAGAGGATCCTGGCTTAGTCTTGATGTCAGCAAGTACTTGTAACCAAGCTCTATTGTGAAATATTCGAAAATCGACATGGTGCTTTTCAGAGTAACGCGAAGCCCTTCTGCAGTACCCTGGCTGAAGAAGCCCAGCTTTCCAACGTTTCCTTCCCACGCATCTAGATATGCAATAAATTCCTCCACTTCAGCCAGGACTGGCGAGTTGAGACGCATGGCACCGCGGCTGCAGCGGGAAGTCGTGGCTGCAATCAGCCTAGCCATTCTTCTGATAAATGACACTGTTGCATCACTAGAGCCAACGCCCCATACTCTCTCGATCTCTTCCTTATATGCATACAAACCCCTGACCATCTCATCACTGAAAAAAGTGAAGGCATAGTTCACTTTCATTTTTTCAAATCCGTTCGGATCGATGACGACTCTTGTGACACAAGGCATTGCTTTAAGCCGCACAATGTCCCTATTGTCACACTTCCATGCCTCTTTCACAACATCTATCCTGATCCTTCCTTCGGGCACCTGGAGACCTGTCGACACAATGCTGTTGCGGGCGCACTTCACAAGATGCGGAAAGTCTGATAAGAAGTGCAGACTTCTGCTGTGATCTGCAGGGTGCTTCACTTTGCAAACAACTGACTTTGAAGAACCCTTGATGCCAAATCGTCACCACATACTCCTGTTCCAGGATGCACCATCTGTGGTCACAAAATCCACAAAAAGCCCAGACTTCTTGGCAGTTAGTGTTGCATCGACAATGATTTTTGCAAGCACATCTGCCTTGACATTTCCATGGGAGCCGAAAACCCCTAAGATTTGCTGAAAGTTGCCTGAAAATGGCTGGAACAATACTACTAGACCGTGATCACACGTTTGTGTGCTTTGATCTAGAGAAGTGTATTTGCCCAAGTCAACGAAACCTTCGATGAGTCCACTGCTTGTCACTTTGAGGCTCTCCGAGGGCTTCAGCTCGTCAATTAAGAGACCTCCGTGCCTGTGAAACTCATCTATACTTTTGGTTTTTTCTTCGATGGCAGCAAAAACATTATCATTGAACCCAAAGTTGCTCTTATAATTTCTCACGTACTTGTTCAAACAACTCTTGCTGGGCAAGACCATTATTTTATGCTTTCGAATATGCTCATATGGCTTTGGGCTTTTCATGCGCTTTATAATGCAGTCCAGAAGCCATTCATCGCTGTACTTCATCCCCTGTGTTCCTTTCCTTTTCGCTGCTTCAGAGCATGTTTGTACCTGCTGCCGCTGTTTCTCAGGCAGCTTAGACAGACTCTCCTGAAGGTTTGATTCAGAGAGGGCAGAATTACTTTGCTTCATTTTCGCAAGCATTTGCTTTAGTTCACCGACTTTTGCCTTTTCTCGCCTCAACTGTCTTCCCCGCATAATTAGTTTCTTTGAAGCACGGTAACCAGTAGCCACTCTAGCTTTTCTTTTCTTATAGGATGCTTGGTTCAAAAGCAGTTTCCTTAGATACCTGCAGTGTATACAAGGCCTTTGATCTTGAGACATGCCTGAGCAACTTTTGCTGTACAACTTGTTTCCATGCGTTCTGTATTTTGATTGATTGGAACTATTAAGCCGCTCCAGTGGAATAGCACCTTGCTCAAAACCGGAGCACACAACCATCTCGTTGATGGAGTGGAGGAGGCTTTGCACAGCATTCACATCAAACACGTCCACTTTTTTTACAACTTTCCCTTGCACAAACACTACACAATGACAGCAAGTATCCTCAGCAGAGCAAAACACCAGTTTCTTGAAGCACACACTATCACCATCTTGAGCACAAACAGTAAACGCAACAGCGTTCGGGGCATCCGCAAGTAGGCACATCGACCAGTACTTGCTTGGAAGCTTCTCACCTTTCATATGCTCCAGTTTTTCCACTGTACACGACGCGCCGGGAACACGTTCACCGTTCGTTGTCACATCTAAGGAAGAATCGTGCTCCATCGAAGGAAGTTCGTTTTCATCGTTCACTTTTCTTTTTTTGCCGAGCACTTCTCCTCTCAATGTCCGGGAGCTGCGCTTCCGAGGAAGCTTTTTAGAGAGATAGCTCGGCGTGTTTGGGAAGATCGACGGTATTGCATCGTCGGTAAGGCATGGGCGGCCGCGAGGAATCTTCACAACTTCACCATTCACGATGTGGGTGTAATCTCTCACAATAAACCGTTGCTCGAAGTGTAACTCGCACAGGACTGCAGTTCGGTCGAGCAGTTTGTCACCACGTGGAACGTACCGCTGCCATGCTTTCAGCCGGTCCTCATCGTTCGGCACGGTAAAAACAGACCTTTTTACACCTGCCTTTCGGGCTGAAACGTACCCGGTAGAGCATCCGGGCGCGAAACAGTGAGTCTGGCGCTTCACTGGTTTAGCCATTACGATATGCGGTGTGAGGAGGCTTCAAAACTTCGAGCATCGTGCAAACAGTACGAACGCAAGCCGCGGAAACGCACGTGCTCCGCTTCGGCCCAGAAGGGCATCTAAAAAACGACACGCGCGCCACCGCTCGTCGGCATGAACAACTGACACCCTCTCCGCCAACCTCCGCAGCGCGCGATGCTCCCACCTCCCCCTTCTAGCCACCATAGTGGAGTCCCCGCTCTGGCGTCACACGCGAGAGGGCGCCACTCCAAGACCTCGGGGTCAAAAGACTAGTAGAACAAACGCGGCAAAAGAAAATGACGGCTATGACGTCATCATAACTCATTTTATTGACAGCAGCGTGGTGACGTGAGGAAAGTAAAGGGGTTACTATATGGTTTCTTTAAATGGGCCCTGAAACTCGTTTTTCAGTAACCATGAAATTAATTCATTGGAAAAGCATATTGCCTCACAAATTCATAGCCACAAAAATTTTAAGAATCCGTCCAGTACAAGCGGAGTTACAAAGATTTGTCACACACTGCAATTGCATTCTCTCTTCTCTCGCCCCGACGAAAGCGCTGGAAGCTAAGCAGGGAGGGATGGGAGGGGCAAACAAAAAAACGTCACGCGCGCCTCGCGGCCTTGAGCACTTTTTTTTTCCGAATACGTAGCTTTTTCAGTGTGATCGCGCGCACACGCGTGGACAAGTGATGGCCTCCCGCGACGATCTCTACAAGGACCGAGCACGCCATGTTCAAATTAGCCAATGGCTGATAGATGGGCTTGCTACGAGCGATTTTTGGGCTTATTGCGTGATTTTTCGAGAGAAGAGAAAGCAATATTTAGCCGACTTTCATAATTTATTGCGAATTCCAGGCCGCGTGCTGCACTGTATTTGGCTCGCGTGTTGTCGGGACCCTCTACTACAGATTGGCAGCATTTCCTGACCATGTTCAAAAAGTGTTGCAAAGCCCCTTTAAATGGTGTCAATACATTCAAAATTCAAACCCAAAATTCCTATAAACCCAAAATTCCTATAAAATACCTTCTCAGCTATCTGCTGATGCTTTGCAGATGATATATGCAAGTTCATGGGAATCAATGCCGCAAGCTACATCGGCCCTGAAATTTCCTTTCAGTACCCCTTTGTCCGCCCAACAACCACGGCAGTTAATAAAAGAGAACATATTGATTGATTGTATATGGGGTTTAACGTCCCAAAACTAACACATGATTATGAAAGATGTCATAGTGGAGGGCTTCAGAAATTTCGACCACCTGGGGTTCTTTCACATGCACCCAAATCTGAGCACATGGGCTGACAGCATTTTCATATCGAGAAAGTGATTTCCTGCTAAGGCACTGATGCTCTCTTGCTGCAACTTCGCTGCTGGTCAGATGAAAACTTTTTATTTCATTCACCATGAACTAGTTGTGCTATATCCACAAGGCCATGCACTTTGGCAGCAGAATAAATAGCGCGTTGCTGACCCACACCACAACGTGAGAGCCAGCAAAGTCTTCTAGCTGGAGAGGGAGAGGTGAGAGAAAACCAGCAGCAGTAAAACAAAAGCGGCGTCTTCCTCCCCCCCCCCCTCCCCGCACAGCCCACTTAATGCGGTGGCTCCTTCAGTTTGTTCCGCTCATCAAGCACGCGCACCACTTTCCGACGTGACGGAGATAGCCGACCTTCCCGTGATCGGCTCCGGTCAGGCTGGGCTCGTTCGGATTGGGCAGGCTCAGCCGTACGTGCAGCTGGGGTTGCCTGATCAGGATTCTCCACAGTAGCGCAGGGTGGTGTCGTAGCTACGGTGGGCTTGGACGTGTCCTGTTGAGTCCAAGCACCACCAGGTGGCCAATGCAACCGCTCGGCTAATGTAGTCAGCAGCAGCTCTTGGGCAAACAAACTTCGATCGGCACGCTCAAGCTCCAGTGCATGTTGTTCAGACTCTACAAGGCTTGGCTCCACACACCTAGAACCAAACAATATCAGCAGCACTGAAAGTCAGTCGAGTTCATTATGTGTTGCTCTGCTAGACTTATGAAGTTCAGCAGCAACGCCAGAATAATCAAGTACTATGGCTACACGCGCTAGATTCCTCCCCACTTTGTCACCCTGTATTTATCAGTGTTTACTTGTTGCAAGCACAATATTTCTTAGAAAAAGCAATCATTTTTCACTTCGAATGCATTAGTAAGCAATATCAAGCGAAAGAACCAAATGTAGTACTGAAATTGTGTCATAGCTACGGTGGGCAGAATGCTGAAAAGCAACCTATGTTCATTTAGGAAAATGAACTCGAATTCAGGCCTAGAATTCAAAGCGAAGAAAGAAAATTGACAACAACCTATTCATAGCATCAAGCCACAATAATATATGCATGAATTTGGTGGACAGAAAGCTTCCTAGTAGCCAGAAATTCGTCCCGATTCAGGGTTACTGAAGCCAGTATCAATGGGTGTGTAAAGTTGCGCATTTCAACTCCAAAGGTATGCGCTCGAGTGCGACGTCTTCGAAGCTTAGCTTAACGGTAATTTACGCCAACTGCTTTAGGGCGCACGAAAGCATTGCATGGCAATCATTACGTTGCTTACACGGTAGGAACAGGTGGCGAAGGAGAATGCACTTTATCGGAAGAAAGAGTAGGGCACACATCATTCTTCTGGAAGCCGTAGCTGAGGCAAGCTCTCCGGCCGGTCGTCAAGCACAGTCTCAGGCCTGGAGCACGTAGAGTGCATTTCATAATAGTGCACAAGAGGTCGCTCTTCAAACGCTACGTTCACAAGATCGCACTAGGCCTGTTGGAGCATGCTCGAGCTCCTAACACATTGTGGGGGTGCTAACACCCCCTGTAAGTTGTTTCTGCCTCGTAGTGCACGTGTCTCGCACATAGGTCGCATTGAGAGGTCACAACTATCGAGTGGTAGGTGGCGTTGTTCTCACGAGCGTTTACCACCAAAATCATCATCATGGTTAGAACGGCGGCACCAGCAGTGACCCCTGGCCTTGGTGGCGGCACGGTGGAAATGAGCAGGTCTCTTTGGCGGGTGGTGGTTGGCGCGAACGGTTGTCTCTAGCGGTGGGTCTGCAGTGGATGGCCTCGTGGGTCGTTTGCCGTAGGCCCTCATGGTGAGTCAAATGTTGGCGAAGCCGCCTTGTGTGTGTTCTTGTGTTTGTTATGTTGGCGAGTGTTGTGTAATATTGTGTAAGGCTGTTTAGTGCGTTGATCGCAATGAATGTTATAATAATTCTGCTAGCAATATCCTTGTTCTAGCAGTAGTTAAATGACTGTCGTGTGGTTCGTTCCGAGCGTGTCAACTGCGTCCGTTCACTCCAAGATCGCAGCGCTCTCTCATTTCGAAACCCCACACTTGGTGCCCAATGTGGAGTTTTTCGACAGTTTTTCGCGGTTCGGTGCAAGCTTTTATTTGAGCCAGGGTAGAGTAGGCCTACGGGGACTTGCATTGCTAAAGTCGACAGTGTGCTTTGTTGAGAGCGAAAAGATGAGTTTTTGTGACGTGTTTTAACTTGTCGGAAGGTTGAGTTTCTTTCTGCTCGCAAGTGGTTCTTTTTGTGGTGTGTTTTAAAGAATATTGTTGAATTGGTACAAGAGCTATGCGGTCTGCGTCCTGATGTGAGCAAAGCTTAGAGCACGTAGATTGTAGGCCAAGCCCAAAGCGAGTGAGTACAGAAGCGTCGTGGGTGGTCAGATTTTCTATAAAAGCTTCTATTTCTTTGGACTCAGGGAGCTGGGCGTCGTTGCTGTCTTGTCTTGTGGCTCTACGCCAGTGCTACAGTGGCTAGAAAGGTTTTCCTAGTGTTGTGAATGAGGCGCAAAGCTGAAAGAGTTTACGATACAGCCTCCAGTGGGGACAACCGCTTGCTGGCGCGCAGCATTTACGCGTCCGAGTTCGCGCTCACAGGTGTTTCTCGTTTAAAACAAGCTTTGTGGCAATGGTACAAAGTTGCTGTGCTCGTCGCACAAAGCGCTGATAAATTTAAATTGAAGGGTACAAAACTGATCTTCAGAGTATGCTGCCAGGTTATCTTCATCTGAACAGCACATACAAAAATTAAGCGGGATATATAGCACGCACGGAACGAAGATTTAGGACATTCCAGACTTCAGTACTACCAGTTTATTAACATTCTTTTCTACACAGTTGCATTTGAGTATAAAGACATCAATTTGCATATATAATTATAGCTGTTACTTAAAAAAACAAATACAACAACCAGATAAAAAGACGCAAGGACAAGTGTTTTTAGGCAGCATGTGAGTGAACAGTGAAAAAAAGACAGGTGCACCTCAATGAAATAAACACTAAATAATAAATATTTAAAAATGAGCATCAGCAGACAATAAATTGAAATTCATGCACACACGAGGAATAACTATTGAACATATTAAGAAGCTGCAACAAACGAAATAGATGTACTTACATTAACATAATGTTAATGTTTTACACTTGAAGTTGTAAAAGACTATGTCTACTTAGGGCAGGTAATAACCGCAGAGCCGAACCACGAGATTGAAGTAACTAGAAGAATAAGAATGGGGTGGAGCACATTCGGCAAGCACTCTCAAATTATGACAGGTAGATTGCCACTATCCCTCAAGAGGAAGGTATATAACAGCTGTATCTTGCCGGTACTTAGCTACGGAGCAGAAACCTGGAGACTTACAAAGAGGGTTCAGCTTAAATTGAGGATGACGCAGCGAGCAATGGAAAGAAAATTGGTAGGTGTAACCTTAAGAGACAAGAAGAGAGCAGAGTGGATTAGGGAACAAAAGGGGGTTAAGGATATCATAGCTGAAATCAAGAAGAAGAAATGGACATGGGCAGGGCATGTAGCGCGTAGACAGGATAACCGCTGGTCATTAAGGGTAACTGAATGGATTCCCAGAGAAGGGAAGCGGGTTAGGGGGAGACAGAAGGTTAGGTGGGCAGATGAGATTAAGAAGTTTGCGGGTATAAATTGGCAGCAGCAAGCACAGGACCGGGTTAACTGGCGGAACATGGGAGAGGCCTTTGTCCTGCAGTGGACGTAGTCAGGCTGATGATGATGACATTAACATAATAAATAAGGAAGAACAACAAGTAAAAGCCAAGAAATACCTGAATGCAAACTGATTTCTCTGTGCCCCTATTTGAAACGAGACTTTGCAAAAACAAAACATAAATTCCAACAGAACCCACCCCCCCCTTGACGGCGGCTGTCCCACTCCCCTTCCATGTACGACCTAAGCTTCACATACTGCTCTTCAAAGAACTTAGTCACTGCTCTCTTCTGCGTATGCAGAAGAGCACAATGAAGCGGGTGCATTCCCCAAATTAACTATTGACAAAGACAATTACCTCAGTTGAAAACAAAAAGGTGCGGCCTGTTGCCTATGTACTTTCTTTCCCTTGCTGCTTTATCTATCCGGCAGTTACTATATATGACCATTTGACCATTCCAGCCTTTATGCATATTGTCACGGGGATGGCGACATAGACGAAGGCACAGACGACTTGTCCAAAAGAAAACTGTTTATACGGCCAAACTTGTGGCCGTAAACAAAAATTCAGACTACACTGATACACATTTGCACATTGCACAGATAACAGCGAACATAGCGTCGGCCGTCGATCAACTGAGAAGTGATGACGTGCATCGGCATTTATACACATGCTGTCAAATATTCCAGCACTTATCCCTAGGGGCGACATAAGTTCCAAAAGAATCTGTAATGTTCCCGCCGTGGGCGTAATCACATCGGAAGGTTCTACGATTATCTTGATAATTCTTTAATCACTGGGCGTGGTTTCACAATGCAACACATACACATGTCGTACGGCGATAAGGAAACTTGAGAAAGGAGCGCGGCAATATTAATTTTCAGACCTACTTTTCTGCTTTCAGTGTCCAGTTTAGTATTATGAGCTGTAATTTGTCCCCTGAGTTACTCATCAGAGCAATGTCATCAGCGAATCACAGGTTACCAAAATATGCTTTGTTAGCTCTTATTCCTTACTGTTTCCTACTTATATAGGGGCCTATATGGGTATATAGGGGCCTAAAATTCAATGCTCCAACGTGGGTAAAAACAATATAGGTATTAAATTATGGGGGTGAGGTGAAATGTGTAAAGGCTGGTTCACACCGGCGACTAGCACTGTTCGCGCGACCATTTGCGACTGGTCGCAAACGGTCGCAAAGCGACTGCTTTGGCTAGTCGCTTCCCGACTGATTTTTTTTTTTTGTCGTGCGACTGCAGTCGCAAAGGTGCTAGAACCAATCAGCGATGCTCAGAAGTGACGCCAGCATTTCTCTATATCCTGGCTCATTGTTTTTTTGTTTAGTTTTTTCATTGTGCTGGCTCCCTGCCGCCAGATACAAACAAGTGCGTTCCTCTGGGTCTGTGCTATGGCCTACACGGAGTACTTGGTTTAGAGATGGCGGGGCGCAGCAGCTCATGCAAAGTGTCGAATTCATGTGGGCACATTCCCAAGAAGCTAAACACCGTCAAACCAAATAGACAATTGATTGTGCAGTATCTTCCCCCTTGTCACTGCCTAAAGACAACGCTTTCGAGACACGTTTGTGCTGCATTGGAGGCGATGCCAAGTCAAGTTAAAGGGCTGGTCAACAGGCTCCGACTTTCTTTCACACCCCCCAAACAAGCTTGGTAATTCGTCGAGTAGACCGCAGCGATCACGTTTTCTGAATATTACAGAGCTGCGCGCTGAACTTGTACGACCTAACTTGTACGAATTTGTATGTATGCGCCGTGCAGAGCCTCCATTTCGAAAAAAAAAAATTCCCACACTCCTGTCCTACGCCTGACCAATGCTTCTTGCATGCACAGTGACGACAACTCGGCGATCGGCAATGTGACGCAGCACGGAGCTCGTCGATTGGTCTAAACCAGGTCTCAACAAACAGTAGTGAAGTCAACGACAGTTCCTGTTCCCACCAACAACTACG